AGTCAAATATTTCACGATATTTGGGTGATTTAGACCGCTTAACAATTCCCACTCCTCTTTAAATTTCTGTATTACATCGGTCTTCTCTAACAAGTAGTTGTGAAGTTTCTTCGCTGCAACTTGTCTGTTTTTCCAGACGGCCTTGTACACCACGGCGTCAGATCCCTGGCCGATTTCTTTCAAGAGATTCACTTCTTCTTTCGATGAAGTATTTGCCATTTGGTTGGCTGTGTCGTAAACTTACTTAGTAGTGCTTTTTACAAGTGCGGAGCTTTAACAACGCTTATTATATGGCTAGCGAGCGGGCAAGATAAATCAAATTCTGCGCTGTGATTGGCTACCCGAGCGGGCAAGATGGAGGTGTCTTGCCCGCTCGGGACTACCCGCCGTGTCCCACAAGAAAAATTTCCCCGAAAGCTAAATAATAAATCCTTTATTGACCAAGCTTGTTCGGTCAAGATGGCTGGATATTGGCCTCGTTCTTTTTTTGCGAGCTTATGGACCTCGACTCCGCCTCGGTCCATAAACACGCAAAAAAAAGAACTTGGCCAATATCCAGCCATCTTGACCGAACAAGCTTGGTCAATAACCCATACTTCCAAGCAATCGCACATTCTCGTCCCCATAGCCCTTTTCGCTCCTCTTAGCCGGCAGGGCCTTGGCACGAGAATCGAAGGGTTCTGGGGACATAGGATTTTCGAATTAATTCGAATTTTTTTGATTGGCTGTTTGAAAACAAAGACAGCTTGAACGGAAGTCAGAATGTTCGCGCGGATTGCTGGCGCGAAAATATAAAACAGCTGTGATCAGCGGTGTTTAAAATAGAGGACATGGAGGATTCTCCCAATATAATTCTCTGTATTGTTTAACTCACGACTCAACACTTGTCGCTGTTGCAACGAAACGGCTTTTTTTTTAGAAATCCTGGTTGATATTCTCGGCGAGAAAAGCAGCAAGGAGCCGGAAATTTTAAAAGTGCTTGAGTTTTTAACTGGGAAAGAAATTTAAAGTTTGGCGATGGTTTACCAACGAAACTGTGCGAACCATGTACAGAAAGGAAAAGAATATTAAAGAATTTCGTTCTTTGTAGCTGGCATCACCTTCTTGGCAGGAATTGTCGATCGTAGGGTCTTGTGTGAAAAGAGTTTGTTGCTCGCAGCAGGTTGGAGAATTAACTTCATCCAGTCAGCACTCTACGGTGAGGCGAAAAAGAGTGAACCGCGAAAGTGTCGAAAGTGGTCTGATGTGTCTTTTCTTTAAGGGTGATCAACATCACAACAAAAATCCCCTTCATTTTAGACTTATTTCTCCCAAGAATAACACGACTGCACTACAGCGCCTTCCACAATTTTAAAAAATTGGAACCGTTTATAAATGCAGGCTTAGGGTTGGTGTTTCACTGAGAAAATATGTCTAAAATATATTACTGTATTGCCCTTGAAGGAAAACGGTGTGTAAATGGTTTTGTTTCCTGGCGAATAATTGTGAGCATATTTTTTTGCTTTGGCATCAATGGAAGGAACTATGTGAAGGCCAAAAAGTGATTTCCACTTTCCATTGCTGGCCCCAATCTCCAAACGGGGAAGCAGAACTGATGATAATGATGATGAGTGGATAATGTTTCAGCTATGTACTGATGCAAAAAGTTAGGGAGTGTTCCTTTTGCAGTCAGGCATAATTAAATAATTTAGGTGAAATTAGGATTTTAAAAACCAGGTCTCTGCTAGGCACTAATTTCAAAACAAATCTGTCACTGCATAAAACTATAAACATTAAATTCTCAACTCTGATATAACTGTCCAACTGAAAACAGACATTTTGATACGTTTGGGTTTACCGCCTGACAACTAGTTAGTGAGAGACTTGCAATCAATTCCCCAAAATAAAGAGACCTTTTTACCAACATTGAGGGTAGAAAAATATGTCCGTTTCTTCAAGCCTCATATAACTGAAAATTTGCAGCAATTTGAGTTTTACTAAATAAATGACTTGAGTTTTTTCATTTCATGGGCACTTAAAAAATAGTAACTGAGGAAACTTAAACAATAATTGTCTTATGGATAAAGTTTAAAAATTTACAATGGATTAGAAAATATACAATTATGTTCACTACTTACAAAATAGGGACTAAGCAATGAAATTTTCAATTTTCAAGAACAAGTGGTCAACCTATAATTTCTCGTTACTGTAGTAGTAATACATTTTCAAGTAGACAGGCCAAGTTAAGAAAATCATCAACCAAGGGATACTATTTTGAGGTCAAATTTTCCAATTATATGTATTTGTCAATATACAATGTCCACAATGACAGTATGTAAATTGGAGTAAATCACTGTAGGAGACATCCCCCTTCTCATAACTTGTAGTTTTACTATGTAAAGGAGAAGCAGCACTTTGATTTTGTCATCACCAGTGTGTGGTTGTGTTGAACATGTGTAGAAACTCTTCAGCCTATTGGGGTTCACTGCAATGAGTTTTGGATCCACCATTCGAAGGGAACTTGATGTATAGCATTTTGTTTGCTCAGTTACTGTTGCAGTTAGTGCGACTACGGGCACCTTTGCAAATATGGCACCGAGCATACCTACTTGGATATACAGGCCAAAAGCTCTTCCTGTAAATACAATGTATGCGAATGTTTGCTGATTTATCAATGATTATAATTAGTTTGTGATCAGTGATAGCATACAAGTAGCTCAGCCGATTAAATTTCCATATTTTGCACTGGTATATACTAGTATATCAAATTGTGGCAGACTAATTTTACAGTTTGATAGCCACTCATACAGGATTGGGATTGTCTGAGTTCATCGATAAAATAGAAATAATGATCACACAAACAATGCCACCATTCACTGTATTAATTTGTAACCTTAGAAAACTCCACCCTCAATTAAAGACGTTGAGGCCGGCAAGACTAAATAAAGAAGCTAAATTACATTTCTTGTACACAAAAAGCCATCTACAAGAAGACATGTTGACTATTTCAAAAAAGGTACAAAATTTTATTTGTCACATTCTTTGGTCCCAAAGCATATTTGCTGAGCAATATTTGATCACTTACAAAGCCTTATATTATACTGTAGGAAATGGAAATAAATCAAGACAGATATAAAAATACTTGCCACTCTACAATGAGATGCGCTTCATCAACTACCACAGTTCTCATATTGCGTCTCACTTCTTCGCAATCCAATATCTTCCTTAATTTTCCGACAAATGCCTCCGGGTGCCCATAAATTATTCTATACTTCGATTCCTTGATATCTCTAATTTCAACCTCGCTCAGCGACTCAGTATTCCTAACCATTAGAGATCTGACCTGCAAATCGTTGAGCTTCACTGTTTGATCTCGCATCAAGGCATTTAAAGGCGAAACAACCAAAATAAACGATTCACTTGCTCCAAGCCAGGAGTCAAAAATGAAGGGCAACAACTGAAAAATTAATTAATGACTTGTCAAAGCCTGTCGGTAAAATAATTAAAGTGTCTTTCTTTAAAACTACAATGTTCCTTATCGCCTCTTTCTGTTCAACACGGAGGGAAACATTCTCTAAATTGATACCACTTAAGGCTTGACACAAAAATTCCTCGAATCCTAGCTTGACAGCCGCCATTGACAATCCCATACAGTATGTAGAGACATTACGACGGCAAACATGAAGGCCGGAAGTCCTAGCTAGAATCTAGGACTGGAAAATCCTATGTCTCCAGAGCCCTTCGATTCTCGTGCCAAGGCCCTGCCGGCTAAGAGGAGCGAAAAGGGCTATGGGGACGAGAATGGCAATCGCAGTGCTAGGCTCCTAATCAGTCCTCGAGGCAGCCGTTAGTATATGACCGTCATGGGATTTGTTGGCTTGCCTAGTTCCTAGGCCTAAATATTTCGCCGCGGGCAATCGTTTCGGGTCACGTGGTCCGGGGAGAATGTGCAGCCCAGGCAAATTTTCGGGTTAACCCGAAAGTTTAGACAATTTGTCAATTTTTCACTGACCCGGTTTCGTCTCGCGGAAGGGAATCCTCTGGGCTTTTCTGGGACAGTGACTGTTAGAGAAAAGCAATTTAAATCCTTTGCTCTTGCATCTTAACGGACAATATCGACTCGGGTCTCTGTAAAATGAGGGCCGGATGGCGAATGGCGGATGGAAAAATGCGGATGTCAAAATGCGGCTAACAAAATGCGGATGGAAAAATGCGGATGATAAAATGCGGACGGAAAATTGAGTATGACAAAATCCGTACGAGAGGAAATCAACTACAATGTTCACTTAGCGGCAATCTGTTTTTAATATCTTATGTAGGGAGAAGTTGAATATCCGTAAACAGAATTCGGTCATCCCATTCTAACGGTGAAAACATTTGTGAGATTAACGCTCTTTCTGCTGTGCTAAAAATCCAAAGAGAAGAATAAACTGTTATCAACAGAAAGAGCTATGGTATGGTATGACTCTCAGACGATTAAAACCTTTATCTTTTTATCAATTTGATCTGGCAAAACACGCCATGACACGCTTCAATAAAATGCTATCTACAGCTGTTAGAACTGGTGGAATATTCAGGCTACTTTATTGTATGAAGAAAGATATGTGAAATAATTTCCATATAATGTCACGAAGCAAAAGATATTTCTGATTTTAATTTTCAATTTTCAATCAATTTTCAATCAATTTTGTCTGTGAAAATTCCTGCAGACTTCGATGGGGTTCGCCGGAAAGAACGTGCAGTACTGTCAGTTTAGCTCTTCTATATCTAGAATTCAATTTCTTTGTAGAACTTAAACGTTGCCATTTGTTCGGTTCCCTTTTACGCAACATTTTCTTCACGTTTCACAATTTATTGTGATTTTCACGAAAATCGTCACTGAATTGATTAAAGTCCAAACTACAATGTTATCGCAAAGAAAAATTCACAGTTAATCTTCGACTAACGCTGGCAAGCCATGGACATGACGAAATTTCGACAATTCGAATCGAAATTTGGCTAAATCCGGACTCAACGGTGTAATTGAATTACTCCCAAAAAAGTGAACATTAGACTAAACTAACCTTGCATTTGCTTTGTTTACTTTACCACAAGGGTCTATTAACGTAACAGAGAAAGTATGAGCGAAATTGATATTTTGGCTCAGTGTCAGCGATTTTGATGATCATATCTAATTTTTAGTAACACTGACTCTTAAGTAAGTCAGTGATGTAGCAAGGCGCTGCTCCATTCAGAACTTTGCAGACCGGTAACAGAATTTTATAAACTATACGGTAACGGACAGGTAGCCAGCTGCGGAACAGTTTTAGGATAGGGGTTATATGATCAAATTTCCTAGT